TATTGAGTCCTTAATAAAACACCCAAATGAGATATTAAGGCTAGGACCTAACACCATATTCTACAAGTTGGAAGAGGGATGTCGTAATCCAGCTGCAAAATATTTGAAGGTAGGTAAATGACGATTTACAAATTTCCACCATGTAAAACAAAAAAGAATTTAGGTTTTAGATGAATTGAAATTCCTAGATCTTTTGAGATTCATTGAACTTTTCAATGTCATGTTTAATCTTGATTATGCCCTTTAAGTTTGTGACTAAGATGCCGAGGATCACAAACAAGGTGTGGATAACCATGCAAATTAGCTTGGTACTCTCGAAGATGTCCATCAACTAATCAATGTGTTGGTTAACCACATACGCTCCATTGATCTATGATAGTGTACGAGGTACCAATTTCCATCCTTCATTGGTCCCATATTAGTGTTCTGGTTAACCACACACGCTCCACTAACAACCAACAAGGTGCAATGTGCAATTTCATGGATTAGCACCAATTCCACATTTTTCTTAAAGTAAATAAGATTTGGGAGTTTATAAAAGTGTTAAGTTACTTGTATTTCATTATACTTATAATAGAAGGTTGTGTCATATCCTAGTCGTTCGGCTAACGACCCTCCACTAGTCAATGGTGTGGTTGGTAGAGTGGGTACCCAATGACGGTCATTTTGTAGGTCGCTTCCTTAAATACCCCTTATAGACCAACTTTGTGAATAAGTCCTACTAACAGTAAGACTCTTTACTCATACATGTATAATATTATACTTTTAATTTTATATTGTATAAGGATGTATTTTACACTTTTAAAATAATATGTGGTCTAATTTAATAAAATTATAGTTTTAATTTAATTAAATACAAACCCTGTCATTATGGATTTATTAACTCTCTTTCAATTATACACTTAATCAATTAAATAAAACCATAAGGGTGTAATATGAACTTTTCAAAATACTAGGGTTTTAGAATTTAATATTTCAAAATTAATATCTTTTAATTAAATTTTAAATTCCAAACCATAAGGACAAATTTTGAAACCTTTCACAATATTAAGCGTTAACTATTTAAATTTCAAAAACTAAAACTTTTAAATTTAAATTTAAACTATACAACCTAATGGTGTAATTTGAAACTTTTCTAAATTACTAGGTCAAATATTTGAATAATAATGATCATATATTATCCATATTTAACCAAATCCATCAATTTTGATAAGGATAAGCATTCCAAACATAAAAAATCGATTTTAGCCAAGAAAAACGAGTTTTGGAAGTAATCGTCAACAAAATCTGGCCAGAAAATCGAAAAACCTGGCGCCAGACCCTTGGACTCGTTGAGGTTACTATAGAACTCGTCGAGTAGGACCTACTCGTTGAGTGCATACATGGACTCGGCGAGTCAGCCAGTCAGAAGACAAAAAAAATCGATTTTCTTGAGCTTTGGTAATTCACCTTTGCATTTATTCACTAGAAAAATGACCTAGGCTCTGATACTACTGGTGTATTATTTGCATAACATCAATCCTATGGTGTACATGCAACCCTAATTACTTTGATCTATGTTTTTTCTAAGTAAACATACAACACTGAATACCAAAGCAATAAACCCTAATTGACTAGCATACAAATCTAAATATCACATATAAATAGAGTTAGGAATATTACCTTGATTCTTATGTAGCAATAACAATCACAATCCTTCTTGATCTTGACTCTTGAAAGCTTAGTGCCCCAAGTGTTGCACCTCTAACGGAGTCACAAACACCACAAGCAACAAGATTACTTCGGAGAGGGAGGAGGAGGCACAAAATTCGTCCAAGGCACTCTTAGAAGGCATAGGGCCGAATTTTGGAAGCCTTAGGGTTCCTTTTATAGGTGAGCTGCTAGAGTTTTAATCAAAACCCCAATTGGATTGCTTAACCACCAAGCAACCCTTTAGATCCTTCCAAAATCAAGGTCTAGACGATTACTAAGTGGGCTTCCACCTTGAATTCGTCCTCCTAATTCCTAAGGGATCTATAGTCTAAAACTCAATTATCTTATAATTGCAATTCCAGTCCCTTAAGTTTAATTAATCAGTTTTGACCACAAAATTAATTCTAAATTAATTATTAATCTATATTAATTAAGCAATATGATTTCTCTTTTAATATGTTATTCATATAATATATTAATCAATCATAATTAATCATCTTTCTCCTTAATTCATCCTGTAAGTTGCTATGGTGAAGGCAACCCAAAAGGATCATGCTCATAATCGGGTCAAGTACATACAAAAATAGGTATGGGCTTTGACACCTAATCCAACACTATTATCACTGGAATTCAATGGTGGATGTGGTATTGGCTCCTCCTGCCTCCAACCGTTTATCCTGTACGTATTTTTGTTATAATGCTACATAATTATGTTATTTTTTTGTTTGATTGAAGAGTCAAGACCATGATGATAATTCATCAGATTATAATTTTGTTATTTTTTCAGGTAACGATTTCATAAAACTAATTTGATTACTTGATGAATCTGATTTGCTTTCAGAATTAGCCTCTTTCAATCATTTATTCAAGATTTCTTTATGCTTTCATTTTTTTGCAATCATTTAGTTTTTTGTTAACAAAATAATGCTTGTTCTTTTTGGTTTTTAACTGGAAAATTTTAGTATATTCTATTTGATTTTTCTTACAAATAACAAAATATTATGTGGTTCCTCTATTTGAATCAATCATGTTTTGGTTATTTCAACTATTTGCCTTTATGCATTTGAAGATTAGATGAGGTTGTGCATAGAAAGCTAGTAACCTGGTCAAACCATAATGATTTTCTCCAAGGCCACATGTCATTGCTTGGCCAAGAACTTTTTTAAATTGCTTCATGTTCTTTCAGTTTCTTGTATTTTTCTAATAGTGAGGGGCATCTTCTGGTTGTTGTGGTTGACATTAGCGATCATGATCCTCATTGAGCAAACACTTGTCACCGGCACTGATGGTTACACATTTAACAAACTTTTTTTTATTTAGATTTTAGAACTTAATAAATATTTAATTCAATCATATTTTGGTTGTTCTTTCAATTGTTTGTCTCTGTGCATTTGAAGATTAGTTGAGAAATTGGAATTTATAGTGTTTTTATGTATGACTTGTTGGATCTCACAGATGACATGTTGGTATTTTGTGTTCTTTTTTTGTATGGGGATAATCTATTGTTGAATGTTTTTATAAAAAATATAATGTTATAACTTAAATGGTAGATCATTACGAAATTGTTATAAAAATGATGATCTAGGATAATATAGTAATTTTGCACAACTATTTAGATACAAAACAAACAACAAGTTTTAGTCAGAAGTTAACTCAGTTAGAACTGTTAACCCAATCAACTCTAACACAGTTAGCAACTACCAAACGACCCTTAACATTTTTGGCTTCTTATTCTTCAAAGATTTCACAATGAGTTAGGTAAAGATGATGAGTAGTGTACCAACACCAAGTTAATTCAAAGTTTCGAGAAATAGCAAAAACTGTTTCAAAAATGAATAGGTTGTACAACAATCTACAAACCCAAAGGAGAAGTGGTCAAGGATATGAAGAAATTCTTCAAGAGGTGTTGTATTTTCTTTTCACGAAGAAACGAGACAGAAATTCAAGTTTAACGAGCCTTGGAAAGTGGTCATTCTTAGCCTAAGGTGGAAAAACTATGGAACTGACTTTATATTAGGAGGAATACTATAAAAAAGAACAAAAGCATACTCTAATGGATATACAACTTCTTCTGATGCTCGTATCGAGCTAGATTTAAATGAAAATGACGAACTCGAACTAGAAGAAATTCTTCGAGCAATGGGTATGGACAAAGTCAAAAGGAAAGGGAAGAGTCTTCTTACAATGTAACGGATTTCTGCATAGAAACAGACAAAATGTGGAAAATAACGACAACATTTGTTCAATATAATAGAAATTTCGTTGAACGTTTGGCATATGATAATGATATGAAATTCTTGATGAAAAAAAAATGATCATCTTTCGCGAGCGGCCATCAAGTTAGTTTTTGAAGAAGAAGGAGAAGATAATGAAAAAAAAATTTCCCCTACATTGTTTCGTTCTTTTTAAATGTAGATCGTTTTTTTTAATGTGGGTTGTCTTTCAAATGTTGGTTCTTTTCTGGGTTTTTTTAATCTTTGTCATTTTTTATGTATTTTTTATTATAAGTAATGAAATATTTATATTTTTATTAATTTTTGTGTTTATTAATCGTTTTTAAGAAACTGTATTTATTTTTTGAATTATGAAACTTAAAATTAAATTATTTTTATTTAAAAATAAAATAAAAATGAAAGGTAATGAATGGTGACTATTTCATTGTATTTTGGTTAGTGAATGGAGAAGTGACGTGATATTGAAAATGTAACTCGTGAAAGATGGGTATACTATAGTTTAAATTTTAATTGCAAAAAATCTTCAATGATGAGATTTTTATTAAATTATAAAATTAAATTAAATATTGTTGAAGTTTTTAGACATTTATTTAAATTGAAAATGATTTAAACAACTTTTTTAAGTTTTAACATTATTAAACATTATTGAGCACTTTAGAATAGACACGTGTATGTGTAATAGAATAATGGGAAATTATCATAAAAGTTTTAATATTTGTGGAAAAATTACATTTTAGTCCTAAGGTTTTTTTTCGAACATAAAAGTCCCGATTATTCGTAAAAACACAATAATATGTTATTTTCTGTTAAAAAAATTTTTGTTGTTAATTTGAACCAAAATGAAATAATCTTCACTTTTATATTTAAAGAAAAATTTTGAAACTAATGTGTAACTTACTGAATAATATTAGGATTTTTAGATAATTTCTCTAGAGAATATTTACATTTTTATTGCAAAACAAGAGAACGTTACAAACATACAATAATTATTCTCATTATACATCATTAAAAACATACGAAACAAAGATACGCTTCTCAAGTAAATCATAGTTGCTAAGATTAAAAGACCGAGATTCAAGGATAAACTTCAATAACAGAATGAAAGCTTCTAATTTGTTTTATAGTGTAACGAGTGAATCCAGCATCATCAAACAAACATGACCACTCTTTTAAAGTTCGTTCTTTACCGGTGCTTGTATGAGCTATCATCACCATGTCAAGCATCAATACCACATCTTCATACTCATGGTTTTCTTCAAGTCCAACAATTGACTCTACGATGATCACCTTCCCTGTATCTTTAGGAATAGCCTCTCGACATTTTCTTAGTATGTCAATGCATTCGTCGTCTCCCCAGTCGTGCAATACTTTCTAAAATATTCAAATATGATCATTTCCGGAACAAGTTAGAAACTCTAACAAATCTTAAGATTAAATAACTTCTATGTATCGTATTATATTAATTAGTAATTAGTAAATAAGCAAATTTTACTAGGGTTATTTTTTTCTTTATTATTTATTAGATATAAGACATTACTTAAAACCCAATAACATAAGTATATGATTGTCTATGCTCGGTGATGGGTGCAATTCACCTTTTCTTTTCTTATATATACAATTGTTTCTTTTTCTATTTGTTGAAGAAAGAAAACAACTCAATCCAAAATTTTAGAAAGACTTTCTTCATTAAGAATTTATTTATAAATTTATGTTCTTTTATCTTTTTTCCATTCATAAAATGTGTTTTCATTTATTCTCTTTTATCTTCACTCATTGGACGACGATGATAACTAAAATGATTTAGAATTAAACAAAATATTATTATTTATTCAAATATATTTTAAAGAACACTTATCCATGCAATCCTAATAATATATGTAGAAAGGGAAAACAATTCTAAATAACAGCTCACATGCATTCACTAACCATCAAATAAGCAGCGTCAGCTTTAGGAATATGATCAAACATGCTGCCTCCTACGTGTTGTACACCTTTCCATGCAGGAGCCACTGACACCACATGAGGCAGATCGAAATTAATCCCTTTGATCCATGGACAACCCTCAACAATCAATCCTAGAGCCGTTCCATCACCACCACCAACATCCACCACCGTCTTCAGCCCCTCAAACACCTCCGGACAACCCCCGATCACCGCCCTCACGGCATTCCGAGCATCACAAGCCATGGCATCGTTAATGAGCTTACTATGACTAGAATTTGCGGATGCAAATTTCCATAGATCAACACCATGTGCTGCCTCAAAAGGCGTGTTTTGGCTGCCCAAAACCATAGCACTTAGCTTGTGCCATGGTGCTAACATGACTGGACTGCTCTCTAAAAGCACAAAATCGGCCATGCTTTGCTTTCCATGCCTAGTTAGAAGTCGGGACAAAGGTGTAAGAGCATATCCAAGGGATGTGTCTGAAATGGGCTTTTCTTGAAATATTTTATACTGGATCAAGAACCTCATGATTCTATATAACGATGATGATGAACACCCGAGCTCGGATGCAAGCTCGGCAAGTGTCATCGGGGTGTCATGTTTTTGGAGAATATCGGGTATCCTGAGCTCAATGGCACACTTAACAATAGCCATTGGAGTGAAACCCAAAACATATTTCCATATTTCTTTTACGGCTGCTTCTTCTTCTTTGGAATCAATTTTTTCTTTCTTCATTTCTGATGACATTTTATCTCAAATTGAATGAATAAATGTGAGGATCATGTCTCCTTTAAATAGCAAAAAATGTTGCACTGTGGGATTTATGTTTATTGTTTAATAATTTAGTTAATTATATATGTTTCATTATTTTTTTCTTTTTAAATTGAAAAGTTTATTATCATTATTAAAGTTGGGTGCCACTACCAGTATACTAATGGCCCACTGCTAAATGCTATATCTAAAGAGAAATTAAATTACCTATTTCTACCCAATAAAATTATGATAAATCATTATTCAATTTTATTTTACTTGATATATTCCTAATATAGTTTTAATGACTTAGTTAAAAAAATATGAAATAATGATACTTGTTACAATTTTATTGAATATTAATATTTGCAGGCAAAAAAAATAAAAATGAATTTAATTTCTCATTTACACATACTCGATTATAATGCGAGATTTAGAATAGAGAAAAAAAGTGACATTTACTCATTTATATAGTTTCCGTTATTATGATAGATATATTGTAAAAAGGATAATTATATGTTTTATTCACATAGTAACATATTATTTTCTTAAAATGACATTATGAATACTAAGAATTCGGAGCCGTTTATCAAATTAAATTATCAATACGTTATAAGGAACCAGGAATAGTAACGTCTCCATCCTGCGGTAAGATCCATGCACACATGCTTCCCTCCTATCCATCCAAAGACCAAAATGTATGCTGGTCTAAGTGTGGACCTTCCATCCTGCGGGTCTGTCAAAAAGTTCACCGGCGCTTCTTTCTTCACAGAAATACCAGCATGCCGACAAGCATCAAAGAGAACATCCCGAACCATATCATGTCTGTACTTGAAACCAAGGAGATCTCTACAATGAACCGCGTGTTCCCCAAAGGTATCCAAACATGCCTTGTGGCAAACTGAGCATATCTCGTCAATTGGGAATATGAGAATCATGAGGCGGTACCGAAGGATAGTTCAGTACTTCACAGGAGACATATGCTGACCAAGACCATCAATAGGGATAGTTAGCAGAAAATCCTGAGCATAAGGTGCCCGCAGACACTCAAAGATTGTTTTCAATCTGACAGTCATGTCGAAATCGACTTCCATATCTTGGACAATTTTGCTAAAAAGGGCAAACACCAAAGCTTTTGGGGATTTAGGGGGGGGGGGGGGGCGGTGTCCTTATTAGTGAAACCGCTACAATTAAATCCCAGAATTGTATCGCGAAGACGAGTCATAGCACATAAGTAATCCGAGTCCATACCACATACACCATTTTCACGTAAGATCTAGTCTTGTAATGCCCAAGATTGGGCCCTCGAGGCTACAAATGTGTAGGAGGAAACTGTTGGGTTTTGAGCAATCTAACACTTCCTAAGTGTGCATGCAACCCTAATAAACCTTGGATCTATGTTTGTCTAAATACATGCAAAATAATAATTTTCCAAGGTTCATAACCTATCTAACATGGCATGGGGTACTTTTAAACATAAAAGAATTAGATGAGATTACATACCTTTTGATGAGTTTGATTCTTAAGGAGTTTGAGGGCCAAGCACCAATAGTGTGAATGCCTCAAGTGGAATCACAAATCACCACAAACTCTTGGAAAACTTTGAGAGAGTGTATACACACTTGTAAAATCGGTCACACACAAACACACATACTAGTTACACTAGTTTCACTAGTGGATATTTCATGCAACATAAGCATGCTTATATAGTGTACATGATTAGGGTGAAACCCTAATAACCCATGACCGTTCCTTTTCCAAGGATCCATGGGTTAAAAGCTCCATGGATCATCCATGGACTTCCATACAAGCCTAGCCCATTAACAAATGAGTGTTAGCCCACACCATATAAAACCAATAGCCCACAATCTAATTAGTCTTCCTTTTAATCTCTAAATTAATTCATAATTAATTTAAGACTAAGACTAATTAAATAACATGAATTCATATTAATATATTATAACTTATAATATATTAATAATCATATGTGTATAACTCTCATAAAATTATCCATAAATAGTTTGGATGAAATGCAACCTAAATGGACCATGCCGGGTCGGGTCAAGTATATACCAAATAAGTTATGGACTTAGACACCTTATCCAACAGAAACCTCATATGTCGAGTACAAACCCAAAACACCGAAATGAATAGGTAAGGAAGCCAGACGCCACTGAATGTCTCCAAAGAAGGGGCCTCCACATACCACCATATCCTCGATAGACCTGCGCAATCCTTTGTCAAAGAACAAAGCTTCCTATTGTATATGTATCGGCTGGCATGTCCAAAGGTCCATCACTTTGTGGGTCACATAGTTGTGGAAGAAGGCCCATCAAATCAACAACATTAACCTCTCTCTTCATGGTCAGCCCGCTAATAAACCCTACGTCTCTACTAACAGCCCCCCGCCCCCCCCCCCCCCCCCCCAAGAAGCTTCACCCCCAATGAAGGTCTCCCTATATCCGTTGGGAATAAATCGGCATGAAGCTTCCTACCATCACAGGAGGGCCAAAAAATCTCCATTTTCTTGACGTTCAACTCAAGACCCAAACCTGGACCATGCAACCGAATAATGTTCAACACTCTAGCCACCTCCTCTGAATCCCCAATGACAGTCCCATCATATAGATACCAAGCATGGAGAAGGAGCTTACAATTGTCTCTAATCTTGTGCACAACCGGGTGCAAAACAAGGGTAAAAAGAAGAGGGCCCAAGGGGTCACCTTGTTGCACCCTAGTGCCAGACCATATATGTTGGTCTCCAATATAAAGCCTCGCTGCTTGCCCATACAAGAAATCTACCCATAAAGAAATGGAGCGACACATCTTCTTAACCTCATGGAGCAATGCTGATCGATCTACCAAGTAAAAGGCATTCGAGAAATCCACAGTCAGCATTACAAGAGACCCATCAGCATGGTGTTCACTCAACACCCTATTGGCATTGTGTAACACAGCCTCGGCACCGCTGGATACACCAACCCCGAACTGAAAATGATTAAGGTACTTGGCCATTTCTTTACCCATACCTTTCATGGAAACCATGGGAACCAGGCGTCTCCATATAGTGCCTACGACAATCGGACGGCTCCCATTGTCGGGTTTAAGTAGAGGTATGAGAGGAGAAGACGCAACAAGCTCTGCCAAAATGGTTGGACATCTTCCCGCTAACCATAAATTAATCACTGAAGTGATAGCATGTATGAGATCTGTGGCAATAGAAGACCCTTCTCTACAAAGGTCATCTAGTAAGTGTTGAGCCCTCAAGCCGTCTCTCCCACAAGAAGTTCCTTTAGGGAAGGATTTGATGCAACCAAATACACAGTCAAAGTCTACTACAATGGGAGGTTCATAAATTATGGGGCTCAGCATGGATGGGG